GCTGATGATTGTTCACTGTAACTGAAGGACAGGGATTATCAGAAATGAATTCAATTGAATGAATTCAAGGAAGTGAGGGAGGCCACCACCATGGCCAAGCTTTCCTACGGAAGTAAGTGCCAATACAGCTGTGGGTCAGGCATGGCTGGCCCCCAGCTGCCACAGAGAGAGGTGTGATGTAAACATGCCAGCCACGCCCTGAGGACAATAACAGTTCCTCATCTGTGGCAAAGACGAGTGAATTCTGAGAATTTTTTAACAATCAAGACCCTTCTGGCTTGGAAGGGAAGTGCTGAAAACACCATGGGACTTGCATCTAGTGAAGGCAAAGTTATTATTACTCTATACACATACCAGAGTCCCTGGGTGATGCAAATTACTCAAGGGCTCAGCTGGTAACTGAAAAGTTGGCCATTCAAGTCCACTCAGAGGTGCCTTGGAAGAAAGACCTGGTGGTCTGCTTCTGAAAAATCAGCCCCTGAAGACTCTGTGGAACAGTTTTACTCTGACACTCATGGGGTTGCCATGAGTCAGGGCTGACTCAACCACAACTGTTTTTTTTTTTTTTTCTTTTTGGTTTTGTACTCATATAAAAAGTATTTGCTGGTATCCTCACTGATGAGGACTCTCCTTTGAGTCAGGAAATTCAGTCATTGCGAAAAATGTGCCTTTGTTATCTTGAGGCTGGGATCCCTCCACTTACACACTGATGTCTATCAACTCAGGGATACCTTTTATTTCGTTAATTAATTAGACATAGATCCGGAGTCAAATTCTGACACAATCCAGCAAGTAACTATAAAAACTGGTGGTGAGATTGAAATGCTAGTAACGCTAACATTAATAGCTGTCAATAATTGAGGCTCACCACTCGTTAGGCACAGTTCTAGGACATTTTATATGTCATCACTCATTTAATCCTGATAAGAACCTATGAATTGTTATCCCCATTTTATAGATGACTAAACTGAGACACAGAGAACCTCCAAAAATCCCAAAGGGCATCCCACTAATAAAGTCAAAGCTGGGATCTGAACCCTAGGCAGTCTAGCTACAGAGCCTATTCTAAGCCATCTACTTCGGGATACCGCTTTCCCACCTTTGACTAGTTGTCAAATACAGGCCCTGTTGCCACCGAGTAAATTCCAACTCATGGCAACCCTACGTATGTCAGAGTAGAACTGCACTCCATAGCGTTTTCAATGGCTTTAACCTTTCAGAAGTAGATCACCGGGCCTTTCTTCTCTGGCACCTCTAGTTGGATTCGAACTGCCGAACTTTCAGTCAAATATAAGACACCCAGTGTCTTAGTCATCTAGTGCTGTCATAACAGAAATGCCACAAGTGGATGGTTTTAACAAAGAGAAATTTGTTTCCTCACAGTTAAAGTAGGCTAAAAGTCCAAATTCATGGTGTCAGCTCCAGGGGAAGGCTTTTTCTCTCTGTCGGCCTTCTTCTCTTCAGTGTTCCCCTGGGCTAGGAGCTTCTCGGAGCAGGGACCCCGGTCCAAAGGACGCGCTCTGCTCCTGGCACTGCTTTCTTGATAGTATGAGGTTCCCCTGTCTCACTGCTCACCTCTGTCTTTTATGTCTCAAGAGATTGCCTCAGGACACAATCCAGTTTTGTAGGTCAGGTCCTGCCTCACTAACACAACTGCTACCCATCCTCCCTCATTAACACAATAGAGGCAGGTTTACAACATGCAGGAAAATCACACAGTACCAGGAATCATGGCCCAGCCAAATTGATACACACATTTTTTGGGGGCCATAATTCAAACCATGACACCCAGTTAAATTTGAATTTCAGGTGAACAATGAATAATTTGGGACAATGAGTAATGTCCAAAATATTTCATGGAACATACTTATATTTTAAAAATTGTTTGATGCTTATCTGAAATTCAAATTAACAAGATGTTCTGTATTTTTATTTGCTAAATCTTCCAACTCTATCCCAGAGGGAGGTGTATGTACCAAGGAAGTAAAGAAAAAAAATTAATTAGTTTGAGTTTTGGTCCCAAACCCCAAAGTAGAGCTCTAATTGCAGGACTAGGCTCGGTACCACCACACACACCATCCATTGCTGTCGAATCAGTTCTGACTCATAGCGACTCTATAGGACAGGGTAGAACTGCCCCGTAGTGTTTCCAAGGAGTGGCTGGTGGATTTGAACTGCCGACCTTTTGGTTAGCAGCCTGAGCTCTTAACCACTGCGCCACCAGTGCTCTAAGGCTAGGTATGGACCTCCTTCTCCCTACCCTAGAGTGACAGCTGTCAGACCTGACTGGACATCAGCATCACTAAGGTAGCTTTAATAACACACTTGCCTGAGCCTGGCCTGGCCTGGCCTGCTAATCAAGGACGCTTACTCTAGTGGTGATTTACTGAGTTCGGGAGTCATATTTTTTTCATCATTTCCTGTGGAGACGTCCAAGATTCAAAGGCTTAGACTGAGATGAAGAGCACCTATATTTTCTAAAGATCTTCTAAATGTTTTCTCCTGCTCCTCTTCCTACTCCTCTTGCTTCTCAGCCTCCATCTCTTTCTTCTCTGCCTCTTCTTCCTCCTTCTTCCTTTGTAGTCCAGCTATTCATGATTGGTCTGAAGCCCTGACTGAAAGTTCCAGCTTACCATTTTCAGCAAGTCCAAGGATACACCCCATAATACACCTCCAGCGAGGGAGGAAGAAGGGATAAATAGACCAAGAGTATGAGAGAAAGTTTCCCTGCAATGCCCGGAGCTGTCACCCGCACCTTCTTGAACTGAGTTAGCAGTCTTAGGCCTGGACTCAACATGGAGAAAGAAGATTTTTTCAGAGAGAATATGAGAGAAAAATTGAGAGAAAGAACCACATGGGAGCCAGGGCTCTTCTCATTTGGAAACAGGCCGTGGCAAAAAAGAGAAGACTGATTATACCCATATGTGCCAAGACTGTTATCCTCTCTGACAGCTCCACCACTACAAACCATGGTCCAAAGAGTACCCAGGAATGCAAATTAAAAAATCTTTCCTGGAGTGGGCAGTGAGTTGAAGATAATGGTGATGGAATAATTTGGAAAAGGATAGTGAGAATAGCAGCACAACTGGAAGAATGTAATTGATGTCACTGAATTGTACATGTAGAAACGTTTGAAATGGTGTAACTTTGGCTATCTATATTTTTACCAAAAGAAAGGTCCTCCAAGGTCGAGAAGGGAGTGTGTTGACATGTTGTGGGGTTGTTAAACGATGTCATAAAATGATATGTGTACTGACTGTTTAATGAGAAACTATTTGTTCTGTAAACCTTCATCTAAAGTACAATAAAAAAATTTTTTTTTAATTAATAAAAAAGTCTTCCCTGTTAACGGAGAAAAAGTGGGAAATGGGCTGGAAAGATCACAAGCTCCCTCTGCAATGTGGCTTATGATCCATGAGGGTGTTGTGAAATCAGTTTAGTGGAACATGACAATTTAGAAATAAAAATGAAATAAAATAAAAATGATAGAAAATATTCAAGGGTGTGCATGTGTGTGTATGTCACACACACATTAAAAAAGCTTGAAAGACAGTGCTCTAGAGACAAATATCCATCAATTTTGGAAAGCAGAAAGCACAGGCTTTTTACTTGACTCAGAGTAGATAAGCTTTGGTTGGAAGGAAGCAAGATCTAAAGAATGATCTGGAGGAGCTGGCTGATGCCTAAAGAAGAATAAACGATAGATTTAGAAAGATTCCTTTACAAGTGGAAGGATGGGGGCACGAGAGGACCATTCACCTAAGGAGAGAAAATACAAAAGTCGTATGTGTCACATTGCTGATTTCTTAGTGTTTCCCTAGATAAGATCTTTGCTGAAATGTAGGCCACATGGTTGTCATTCCTGGGTCTCCTATGTCTTTTCTCTTCTCTTTTAGAGCAGAGAGCTGAAGCAGGGGGCAGTGCTGGCGGAGATGGGAGTGTATGTATGAAGTTTTTAAAGTACACAGAAGAAGCAAGGTCAGGGCTGGACGGAAGAGCCTGACTCTGTCTTCTTTCTGCTAATCAAAGCTATTTATGCTAATGGTGCGTTATTGGGTTTGAGATCCATAGTTTTCCATTTTTCTGTGGACATGTAAAAGAAAGTTTGAGAGACCGTAGGGAAGTATTCCTTCATGTTCTATCAGTGCTGTCCAATAATACTTCCAACAATGATGGAAATATTCTGTATCTGTACTGTCCAATATGGTAGCCACTAGCCCATGGGGCTGCTGAGCACTTGTAATGTGGCTAGTGTGACTAAGAAACTGAATTTTAAACTTTATAAAATTTTAATTAAGATGAAAATTTAAATAGCTACATGTGTCTAGTGGCTACAGTATTGAACAGAGCAGTTCTCTCTCATTCCAGTTTTTCTTTGACATCGAATAACCTGGGTATAAGTGATTTATATTTGACCATGATTATGTGCTGAGTTTTACCCAAATTATTCTGAGATACCCATAAAATTGAGAACAATATGTTGGTATTTACATCAACTATAAAAGAGAAATTTGCTGGATTGGTTTATGACTATTTCAATTCTTAAACATTCAATCTATTCTGGTATTAATAATCCTAAGGGTCCTTGATTATTTTAATGAATGTCTTTACTGAGATGAAAGGGAAATCTCGTCAAATATAAAAGGCACGATGTTAAATGCACCTAATTGCAAAGTTAAGCAATGATTTTAAAATAGTCTGTATTTAGTCAAACTTGATAACCTGTAAGAAGTTTAAAGAATAATTTTCTAGTAAGTTCATAAGGACGCCAAAATGTACTACCTTCTGCAATGGAAGCAGAAGAGATTGTGTATCAGGCTACGTGAAGTGGAAAATGATTAAATACTCAGGGCTTCTGATCAGCTCAATTAGGCACTACCACTGTGTGCATTTTTAGATTTTGGCTTGAATTACTTGTTTTTGTGCCTCAGCCTTACATGTTACACCGCTCGCCTTTATGTTCAGTTCAGGGAACAAGAGAGGGACTACTGAAGATGAGAGTTGGAGTGTTCTGGCTCATCTCGATCTTCACAGTCATGGCGGGGCGCGATGGCATCTTGGGGGTGAGTTGGAGCATGGTCTGAATTTCCTGTCTACCACCTCTCCTTTCTCCTGGCACTTTTAGGAACCATCATTCTCCAGGCAGCTGAAAATACAATTTTTTTAAAAAAAATTATGCTTTAGGTGAAAGTTTACAGAGCAAATTAGTTTCTCACTGAACAGTTAATACACAAATCGTTTTGTGTCGTTGGTTGCCAACCCTGCAATGAGTCAACACTCTCCCCTTCTCCACCCTGGCTTCTCTGTTTCCATTCTTCCAGTTTTCGTGTCCCTTCCTGTCTTCTCATCTTTGCTTTTGGGCTGGTGTGCCCAATGGTCTCCTACACATGAATTGAACTATGAAGCGTATTCCTCACGTATGTTATTGTTGGCCCTATAGACCTGTCTAATCTTTAACAGAAGGGTGAACCTCAGGAGTGACTTCAGTACTGAGTTAAAACGGTGTCCAAAGGCCATACTCTGGGGATTTCTCCAGTCTCTGTCAGAATAGCGAGCCTGGTCTTTTTTTTTTTTTGTAAATTTGTATTTTGTTTTTCATTTTTCTCTGGCTCTGTCTGGAAATGAAGCTACAGAATTTAATGGACTCGGAATCAGAAGTCCTGGGTTCTTGTCTCAACATTGTCAATATTCTTGTTTCAACCTTAGTTGTGTGGCCTTAAGACAAGTTATTCCACCTCTTTGGAACATAAATAACCTAACTACAAAATGAGGACCTCAGACTAAACCATCCTGGAGATCTTTTATAGCTCAACACATTCTCTAATATGGTCTTTTTGAAGCAGAAAATGCATATGGATTGACATTAGCAGTCCTCGGGCCCTCTCTTCCTTATCTATATTCATTCCCTTAATGCTTTCGTCTAAGCTCGTTGTTTTAACAGGCTATATAAGAAGCCCTGGTGGTGCAGTAGTTAAGTGCTGGGCTGCTATCTGAAAGATCGGTGATTCGAACCCACCAGCCACTCCATGGGAGAAAGGTGTGGCAGTCGGATTCCGTAAAGATTACAGCCTGGAAACTCTATGGGGCAGTTCTACTCTGTCCTGTAGGGTCACCATGAGTCAGAATCAACTTGACAATAACACGTTTAGTTTTGGGTATAGGCTGATAACTACCTAATTTATACAGTGAAACCTGTGAGAGCCAAAACTCAAAGGGCCGCCTCATAAGTGTTCCACCTTTGACAAGATGCAGTCTTGTCACTTTTCTATCGCTCTCTACTAGTGGAAAATATTTGAATTTTCCTTCTCTGACAGTTTTCTGCCTTACACAGGCTCCGGCTTTTGCAGGTTTTACTGTATCTCCATCTTAGACTTCTCCCCTGAACTCCATACTCATATATCTAGTACTTACTTGGTATCTCTGCTTGGATGCCCAAAGGGTCCCTTAGCTTAATATATCCAAAATGAAACTTTTTTTTTTTTAATTTTAATTTTTTTATTGTTGTAGTTTAAATGAAGTTTACATTTCAGGTTAGTCTCCCATACAAAAATGTATACATACTTTATTATGTGACCCTAATTGCTTTCCCCATACTGTGACAGCACACTCCTCCTTTCCACCCGATTCCCCATGTCCATTCAACCTGCTCCTGACCGTCTCTGCCTTCCCATCTCACCTCCAGACAGAAGCCGTCCGTTTAGTCTCTTGTATCTACTTGAGCTAAGAGGAACACTCCTCATTAGTATCACTTTATGTCCCACAGTCCGGTTCAGTCCCTGTCTGAAGGGTTGGCCTCGGAAATTGTTTTAATTCTGGGCTGATAGAGAATCCAGGGGCCATGCTTTCTGGGGTTCCTCCAGTCTCAGTCAGACCATTAAGTCTGGTCTTTTTACTAGAATTTGAGTTCTGCACCCCACCTTTCTCCT